GCGAGCGGGTAATTCCCTCCTAGAAGTGTTTTTAAATGTGTGGGAAAGGTTTGTAAGAGTGTAGGAAGGGAAGGTTTTATAAAGCCTTAAAATATATATAAATACTAAGATAAATATAATGTCACTACTTCACTGATTTTCACTTACAGCGGGGGTGTCGGGCACATAACCTCCGTGATAAGAGAGGGACCACTGGAATGGATGTGAGTTTCCCAGAAAATAAGACCCGGCTGGCAAATAACCAGCCTTGACAACTAGAGGTCAAACATCAGCCCCAGTCAGCCTGCTTTTGCTTCCTTGCTAGCCTCCATTCTCTTGCTCAGTGGCTGCTTAGTAAGGCACCTGGGGAAAGGTTTGTCTCACTGGGGCCGACACTTTTTAATCTCTAGTTTTTAAGACATTATTTTCCAGGTAGATATTACTTTCAGGGAAACAAGGTGTATAGGGCAATGATAATAGTGAATATATGCAGTAGAACGGGTGGTTTCTCTTATTTCTCTACTTTTTAGTCATTTTTTGATATTGCACTTTCTTTTTTTTTTTTTCAATTTTATGTATTTGGTACAGGGTCTCACTACACAGTTTGGACTTGTAGTGATTCTCCGGTCTCAGCCTCCCCAGTGCTGGGATTGCAGACCTGCATCACCAGGCCCAGATTCAGTGGCCAGCTCGGCGTAGGGCCTGGGATCGAACTCAGGTCGTGGAACTTGCCTATGCAGGCACCTAGACTACTAAGCTATCTCTGTGACCCCACACTTTCCTTCTTTTATTCCTACAAAAGTAAAACTGCTTCTAAAAGTAGTAATACAAGACCAACATTTACCAGCCTAGTGTGTACACTGCGAACTCAGCCATAGTGGCTTCATCTTATTCACAACAGACTCAATCAGATTCCAAAATAGGTGTTCATAAAGTTTTTGTTTAAAAGTTAGAACTAGCAAGTGAGGAAGAATTAAAACTAGAATGAAGGGGCTGGGAAGATGGCTTAGTAAATAGGCGCTTCCCTGGCAAGCTCAAGGGCCTGAGTTCAAGCCCTGGTTCCGCAAAAAAAAAAAAAAACCCCACAATGAAGTAGTATGAAATGATCATGCGAGGAAATATCTTAAAGTTCAACTTAAAGGCTGTGAAGTATCTTACCAAATGATACTCCATAGTGTCTCAGCTGTGGGCCATGTTCCTGGGCTAACTTGAAGATATTCACTGCGTAGTTTTTCAAAGCCTTCGCGTAGTCTTGAATGTTGAAAGGGATCACTGTGGAGTCTGCAAGCTCGTACACCAGCGCCCCTCGCAACTGAGCCACCGACAGCTGCTTCTTGAACATTGGGTCATAGAAATTCTCTACCAATTCAAATGTCTCATAAATAGTATGATACACAGGGTAGCTGCTGTATTTATCTGTTTTCTGAAGAAAGGGAAGAGGCATAAACAGAAAGTAACATTAATATTCAAGAGATTTATGTAATGGGAAATGACGAGAGAAAAATATATAGGATGCCTTCTTTTAGCGCAGTGAAGCAAAAAGTTGAAATCTAACCGAAGTGCTACAAACAAATGCTCAGATTTACAATTTTACTTTTTTTCCACAGTAACTTATATAAGCTTTCATTTAAAATGCTGTATGTTGTGGTTCACATTGAGATGTCCCCCGCCAAAGCCTCCTGGGGCTTCTCCAAGGGGGCAGAATCTAGTGTGTGATCGATTCATGATGCAGTGTTAGGATTAGGGTGCTAGGCTTAAGTGTGGGTGACTACTGAATCACTCCACCCTAATCCCTATGTCCTAAATACAGTATAAGCAACAGAAAGAGGCCTGTCTTGGCCCTCGCTTGCCTGTTTTGCTCCCCTCTGCCATGTACCACCATGCCTTGCAGCCAGCTAAATATGGACTGAAACCTCTACAAACTATGAGCTAAAGAAAGCCTTCTCCTTTTAATTTTGAGTGTAGGGTATTTTGTCTCAGCAATGAGAGAAAAGTAACTATGACACTGCTTCTGAAATATTTGCTTCATTCCATTTTCTGATAATTAAAATTAAGGAATATATATTCAAATTGCATATTAGCATGGTCTAAAATTAACTATCAGTTGATTGGAAATGCACAGTCCTGGCAAGGACCTTGTATCCATGTACTGGAAGGATAATTTATTTAAGGCCTACCTTTCCTTGCCAAAGAGTATATAACTTAATGTCATTTAACTTTTTTTTTTTTTTTTCATCAGGGTATCACCATGTAGTTCAGAAGCCTGGCCTTGAACTCACCTTGTAGCCCAGGTTGGCCTTGAAATTACAATGATCCTCCTGCTTCAGTCTTCCAAGTGCTGGGATTATAAGCATGTGCCACCATGCCCAGAGGCAGATAGGCATAAATTTTTATAAATTTCGGTTGTTAAAAATAGAATTGAGGGACTGGGGAAATAGCTCAGTAGAACAAGCACTTGCCTGGCAAGTGCAAGGTCCTGAGTTCAATCCCCAGTACCACCAAAAAAATAGAATTGAATGGGGCTGGTGAGATGGTTCAGTGGTCTAAAGCACCTACTTAAAACAAGCTTAGCAAAGCACAGGGACTGGGGTTCAATCCCCCAGCACCACATGCCAGCCAGCCCCGACCCCTGGTGGGCTGAGCTGGCCACACGCACGCACATACACACACACACACACACACACATAAAATTTTTTTAAAATAGAATTGAATTTTTATGGTAGTAAATGATCAAATACAGTATTATGCACATATATTTTACCTACCATTTTTCTGGCTTATGTGGCTCATTTGTAAATTTTTTCAAATTATAGTAAACCTCTCAAAAGACCTGCATGTAAGCTAAATGCACACACACACAGTTTAAACACACTGTTCCAAGGATAGCTAAGTGTAGTAAGAACTAATAGACAATGTGTACATCTGTTCTGAGATATTCTGGAGCTTTTTTACTTTTTTCTTCTTAGTTGTGCTCTTGATAAGTTGCAATTAATATATATGTGTTACACTGTTATTTGAAAATGGATTAAAAACATGAAAAAACTATTGTAGTTTTCAGTCTGGTTTATGACATAACTTATAACACAGACATGAAAACATGGTGTACGTTGGCTGCACCCAAGTACTTGTGCATCAGTAAGATGTTTGTAGTGGTGCAAACTAGAATGCGACACAGAAGAGGATGAGCGTAAAATTAAGAAAAAAGCTTTATTTAATCTCATTCTAAGAGCCCTGGATTCCTATAGGAATGAGTAAGAGTATGGAAAGGAGTTAATAATGATAGAGTATCCAAGTTAATAGAGCATCTAATAATATTAATAGAGTTAATAAAAATAGAGTATCCATAGAGCCTCAACCAAACAATGTCCTCTAATTGCATTTTCTTGAGGAAAAGTATATCAGAGGGTATGAAACTAGGATCTGTTCTAACAAAGACTACATCAAGAAAAAGAGGTGACTTATTAGCACTAGTAACCAGCTAAGTATCTGGCACTAATGCTTGCATTACCCTTTCACTGAATAAGCCCTGTAGTAAAACGCTCACAAAACAACTCAGATTTCTTACTGATCCACTCAGAGGAATGTAGGCCATTGGTCTGTGCCCTGGAATCTTCCCAGGCCACATGTCTACCCAGGGCCTTGTGCCAGACCTCTCACCGGCAGAGTTTTTCCACCCAAGAAAGGCGAGTGAAATGCTGCCAGAGTTGGGAGCTGGAATGTTTCCCAAAGGCCCATCTATTAAAGCTGTGTTTCCCAGATAGGCACCTTTAGGAGTCAGTAGAACATTTAAGAAGTAAGTCTAACAGCTGGGTATGGTGCTGCTTGCCTATAATCCCAGCACTTGGAGGCTGAGGCAGGAGAACTGCTATGTGTTAGAGGCCAGTCTAGGCTCCAAAGTGAGTTCAAGCCCAACATGACCTGAATAGCAAAAAAAAAAAAGGAAAAAAAGTAGGCCTAGTGTGAGGGCTCTTGGGACACTGGGGCTGTGCTCACAGAGGGGCTGGAGGCAATGAAGCTCCTCTTCTCTCCCTCACCTTCTGCTTCCCAGCTGTGGATGTTAGGAGAGCACTTTCTTCCACCACGTGCTCCCCAGCCAGATGCTCGGCCTCATCACAGGCTCAGCAGTCACAGGGTCACCGACCAGGGATGGAACCCTCTGTTGTAAGGATTTTTTTGTTTGTTTGTTTTTGTTGGAACCAGAGATTGAACTCAGGTGCTTGAGCTTATCAGGCAAGCGCTTATTCTACTGAGCTATCTCCCCAGCCCTGATGGAACCCTCTGGAAGTGAACCTAGGTGACTTCCTCTCTTCACAAGCTGATTATTTCAGGTGTTTCATTACAATGATGAAGAGCTAACATATGCTGTATACACAGAATATAAAGTGGCTTACCCTGTTTTTAGTGTAACGCACTCTCCCTGAGGCAATCCCAAGTCTCTGAAAATAAGCTTCAAAATCACTTCCAGATCCTAGTTTATTGATTCTAGAAATGGAATAAAAATAAACACCACAAATAATACAAAATTAAATATACAGGGTGATAGATCCTGTAAAGGAACAAGGAATCACCTGGAACATTTGTTATAAGAATGAGAAAAGGATTAGTAGTCTCCAAAATACTTTCCTTTTGTGTGCTGAAAAACTGCTCTGATGAACCTAAACATCTGTATGACTACAACGAGAACTGGCACTGCCACCAAGATTGCTGTCTATGACAAACCAAGAGTCAACATCATGATTAGTGGATGAAAAGTGAAAGCTTTCACTCTAAAATCAGGAATAATAAGACTGGGCATGGTGGTGCTCACCTATAATCCCAGTACTTGGGAAGCTGAAAACAGGAGGTCACTATGAGTCCAATCTGTGTAGTAAGACTCTGTACTAAATACATTAAAAAAATAAAATAAAATCAGGAATAAGATAGGAATGTCTTTATGAGAACTTGTACTGTAACGTCATGTACCTCGGTAGTGTCCCAAATTTTCTGATCAAGAAGATTATGGGGCCAAAGAGGAAAGTGATCGATGATGTAGAGTGTGCCTAAGGAGAGTCACATGGAGAAAAAACACTCTCTCAGGCTTTCACAGAGAGCACATTGGCCAAGCAATGGCCGTGACTCATCCACATGGCTGACACTGACAAAGGTTCTACAATCAGAGGTACAGGATCTCAGGATAAATCCTGAGGGCATTTCACTGACCTTCTCAGACCAAAAAGCTACAACTCTTGTTGCACAGGTCCTGCTTTACCTTGGTCTTAACCATCCAGCAGAAAAGTATGAAGATGAAATATAGGAAGTAAAGCCATGCTGTTATGTTGAGCTGTGGGGGACTCAGGTCAATAATTTCTGACATTGCCAGTTAAACAGAAGACCCAATGCTATTATGGTCTACTGGACTCTTTTAGAATATTTTGCTGAGTTTACACACCTGTAATATTCAATAACGGAACTTCGAAAAAGTAGGGTATACAGATGAATGTCCATTTTGTATCTGTGTATTCAAAGTGGTTAGGATAGATATATAGTTGATTCTCTTAATGAATAGAATGATTTGTTCTAATGGTGTTTGTAAATAGGATCTCAAGTCCGCATCTTGTACAGCAATTAACCACTAAGTAGAATATATGCAGTGTGTTATTTGTTGAAACTGTACTTCCGATTTGATTTGAAACTGTCTCATTGCTGTTTATCAATAAAATTTTGGAAAAAAAAAAAGACAGGAATGTTCACTTTCACCACCCTTATTTAATATAATTCTGGAAACATTCACCAGATCAATTAGACAAGAGAAAGAAGAAAATTAATAAGAATAAAAAATGAAGAAGTTAAATTTTCATTATTTTCAGATGACACAATACAGAGAAGAACCCCAAAACCCTATCAAAAGACTTCTAGATATAATTCATCAGTATAGTTGGATAAAAAGCCAATACTCAAAAACCAATCCTCTACATGAATAACAAGCTCCCTAAGAGGTTAATTAGGGAAACAGAAACTTTTACAATAGCATCCAAAAAATGAAATACTTAAGAATCAATTTAATGAAGGAAATAAATGACTTTTACATTGAAAATGATAGTACTCTTAAAAAGGAGATCCAAGAGGATATCAGAAAATGAGAAGATATCCCTTGTTTTTAGGTAGGAGACGCAATACAGTGAAAATGGCCAAACTTCCAAAATAGTTATAGAGATTTAATGCAATTTCAATCAAAATTCCAGTAGTGTATCACAGAAGTAGAGAAAAAAGTTCTAAAATTCATTTGGAACCAGAAGAGACTTAGAATAGCCAAAGCAATTTTTGGCAACCAATTGCTGTGAGTAAGCAGCACAATCCCTGACTTGAAATTACACTACAGAGCTCCTACGGCAAAACCAGCATGGTACTGGCAAAAAACAGACCCAAAGATCAACTGAACAGATTAGAAGACGCAGAACAACTCCGCATATACTCAACCCCTTTATCTTTGATGAAGGGTCCAAAAACCTTCACTGAAAGAAAAATAGTCTCTTCAATAAATGGGGCATAAAAACTGACTTTCCACATGCTAGAGATTAAAAACTACACCCATATCTTTCACCATGCACTAAACTAAAATCAAAATGGATCAAATACATAAATATTAAAAAAGAAATACTAAATCTCCTGGCAGATAAAATAAGTAATACTCTCGAAGACACAGGTGGAAGCAAAGCCTTTATGAACAAAACCCTGATCACACAGGAAATATCACAAAGAATCAATATCTTATTAAAAAGCTTTTCCACAACAAAGAAAACCACAAAAACAGAGTAAAGAGACAACCCACAGAATGGGAAAAAATTTGTCAGTTGTTCCTTAGACAAAGAACTACTATCAAGAATATATACGCAACTAAAAGTTAGATCCCCTCCAAATTTAAAGACCCAAACCAAAAATCAGCATTTGAAATGAATAAACACTTCTCAGATGAAGTAGAAATGAAAAATATATAGAAAATGTTCCACAGAACTGATCATTTGAGAGATGCAAATTAAAACAACACTGGGATTGCATCTCACCCCAGAAAGAAGGGCCATTATGATGAAATCAACTAATAACAAATGCTTGCAGGTCTGAGGATAAAGGAACCCTTCTCCACTGTTGGTGGGAGTATAGACTGGTGCAAACACTGTGGAAATCAGTGGGTATAATTTTCAAAAAACTGAACTAAAACTTGAGATTCCATTTAACTCAGCTATTCACCTTCTTCAGATCTTTCTAAAAATTAACAGCATCATGCCACAGTGATATGTGTGCATCTATGTTTACAGAGGCCCATTTGTAATAGCTGCTTTGGAAATAGACTAAATGCCCTTCCATGGATGAGTGGATAAAGATGTGTGGTTTTATGCAAAGGAGTATTACTCTGCAATACAGAAGGTTAAACTGAAGACATTTCTAGGTAAATGGTTGCACCTTGACACCATACTCTTAAGTGAAGTAAATTGAACACATATGGTCACATGTCACATGGTCTCTCTGCTGTGAGAAACCAAAAGTGTAAGGCCCAAAATGTATGATGGATATTAGGAAGCAGGAAGATGTTCAAAAGAGAAGGGAACAAGGAAGCAGGGAGGGAGAAAGGAAAGAAGGAAGAAGAAGGAGAAGGTAAAGGAGAAGGAGGAGGAGGAAGAGGAAGAAGAGGAGGAAGATGAGGAGAAGGAGATGGAAGCAAAGCTTTTGTAAATAAAGAGAGGTTGAGGGGAGGGCAGGGTAATAGGAAAAAAGAATAAGCAAACTATATCATATACAGGTACAAATACTCTATGATGAATGGCATCATTATGTATATCTAAAATGTACCAATAAAATAAGAAAAAGAATGTAAATTCAAGGATGCTGCTACTGCAAGAATGAGAAGAGGAAAAAAAAAAGAATGAGAAGAGGTAAAAAATATATATTTATATAAAAACTAAAGGGGCTAGAAGTGAACACACAACTTGGTGGTTTCTGTTAGTGCCCCTTAGCAAATTTACAAGCAAACCATTCATCATTTTTTGGCTTCCTTACTATGAAGTTTTATTTTTATTAGCACATCAACTACATATCTGGATGAAATTTTATGTAAGAATGGAAAGTAATAACTATAGCAAAAATATTTTATTAAAAATGTTCAAAAGAAGAACTACATGCATGGGCTCTGTGTAAACCATAGTCGGATGGAGGAAACCTTCATGACCACATTCAAATTACTGGTGACAGAGCTGAGTTAAATGCTTGGCAAAGCAAGGGGCAAAGGGAATGCCTATTTAATCCTATGGTGCAAAAAGATGCCTATACATCACTTACCTAGGAAAGTCTTTATTATCTGGTGAAGGGTCTTTTTGCAACCAACTTTCATAAAGTGATTTCCGCTCAAAACCATCATCAGGGCTGGGAATCTAGAAAGATAAAATAAATCCTGGGGATCAGGGCAGAAATACCTCCATTTATGCCAATATGAAATATATTGCTAAGTATTATCTTACACTGCTAAATACCTGTGTGTCATGTTCATTCACTGAAAACTATCTTTCTGAAACTGGCAAGAAAATGTAGCAGTTTTTTTTGTTGTTGTTTTTGGGTTTTTTTGTACCCAGGATCTCGTGCTTATACCAATGAGCTATATTTCTAGCCCTAATTTCTGTTTTTCTTTCACTTTTTTTGTTTTTGTGAGACAGGTTCTGGCTTTCCTTGAACTCACAATGTAGCCCAGGCCGGCCTTGAACTCTCAGTGATCCTCCTGCCCTAGCCTCCTCAGTGCTAGGATTATAGCCATGCACCGCCACGCCCAGTTTCTGGGCCAGCACAGCACACCCGGGGTTCTGGGGCTGGCACAGCCTGTGGTACGGGAGATCAAACCCAAGACCTTGTGCTTGCAGGTAGGCGCTTAGGCTGCTGAGCTATCTCCCCATCCCTCTGCTGAAAATTTAATCCCCACAGACAGGTGATATTTAATCATGAGACATTTGAGAGCTACCTGGACTCAGTAAAGGTCATGAGAGTTGGGTTCCTAGAATGCAATGAGTGGCTTTCTAAGAAGTAGGAAGACCTCTTGTCTTGCTGTGTGTGTGTGCGCTTCTCCATTTATGACGCAAGAGGCCCTCACTAGATGCCCTCTCCTTACCAGGGTCTTTAGCTTCCAGTACGAGGAGCCATTCAATTTATTTGTTATAAATTGCCCAGGCTATCTATTTTGTTGCAACCACAAAAAGCACGTGACAAGCACCTTCATTCTAAGTGGACCTAAACACGTGCTCTTGTTGTTTTCCACCAAAGAAAGAGGAAGGCCCAGTGGTGATCACGCTGTGGACTACCAGTCAAACAGGTCTCTCACAGAGCCCAACCACAACACCTATTGGCTCTAGTTTGTTTACTTGTTGAGAACTCTGTATTTTTTATTTTTGTTCTTTGCCATTATTTTGGGTTTTTGTTTGTTTGAATGTAGTAAGATGGCATGCTACTACATTCCCCAGGCTGGCTTCAAATTGCTAAGGGTTGCAAATGTTCCTCCTGTCTCAGTCTCCCCAAATGCTGGACTCCAGGCACTCACTGCGCCCCACCCTGCAGCTTTGACCAATTAAAAACACCATGGTGGGCAACACTTCTTCTGTAACAGAAATAACTACACTATGGAGTTGCTTTCTGTCTTTAAGCTCTTGTTTTCTTAGCTATAGAAATGGGGACAATGGCAAGCTGCTCTACAATCTCCTCTGACACCTTCTCTGACCCACACATAGCTGTGGTGTGCCCCGCTCTGTGCCACTATCCATGAAAAAAGTTCCACAGATACTTTTGAGAGATGAGTTCAGAATATTATAGTCTCTACCTCCTCAAACAACCCAGTCTAGGTGAGATGACCCAGGCCGTGCGTGGGATCCTGAACAAACGCAGAGCGCAGGCCCGGCGAGTGAGCCTACCGAGGCTGCGGGATCCTGAACAGACCCAGAGCGAGACAACCGGGGGCCCTCTGGAACCTGAACAAACCCAGAGCACAGGCCCGGCCAGTGAGTGAGACGACCCGGCCTGCGGGATCCTGAACAGACCCAGAGTGCAGGCCCAGCACGGAACCCTTCAGCAGAACTCCCTTCAAAGAGGCTAGAGACAAGACCAACCCAGCTGATTCAGGAGCAGAACATCTTGCCAGGGAGACACAAAGGGTTCAACTCTAACGGCTGCAACAGAAAGAAGTAGAGCACAGCAGCCAGATCCAAGCAACACCCACCTGGAGGAATCTGAACTTCGTAGATCTGGACCTGGTGCTAAGGTAATAACTCTATCTAAG